GTTCCATTTATAATCAAATACAACTGTAGAATGAGTTAATAAGAATTTTAAATTTAGTAAGAATTTTAAATACTTACATGAGTTTGACTGCTATTGTTAAGATCTGCCGCAGCGAAAAAACAGTGGATGTCGTAAGTTGGTGAATACCTGTTCTCAAAAATGAAGAAGAGATATTCGTTCTTGATTCTGAAGAGGTATCTCAGATACTGCTAGTCAGATCAACCATACCTCGGAATTGAGGCACGAATATAACGCCAACAACATTCATTGGTGTCAGGAGCTGGATTAAGTATTTACTGGGTTAACTTTAAGTTTTTATACTGATGCCTTTTGAGCGTGTAAAAACACACACCAGCAGTCAGTTATAGCTAGCTCTGGTTTGATTGGCCAATACAAGTTTCAGCAGAGTCTTTCTGGTGGGTACCGTACAGTCAGGTACTGGGATGAAGAACCTCTCATTGGCAACTCGCACAGCCCCGCCAAGCACTGTGCTTTCACAAGCCTGCTTCGAATGTACTTACGTTACCTTGGCCTCACCAATCTCAACAACACAACCTGGCCCACCGATTTTGTTTGGTTCTGCCTATTGTGAGCAAGCAAAGCAAAGGTGAGTCGGTGGCTCAGTTGGTAGCGTCACGGACTTTGGGCTCAAGACAGCAATGTCGAGGGTTCGTATCCTGGTCACTGCCGCAAACATTTTATTAGTACAGTTCACCTTCGTACTGTATTGGCTCATCCCTTGCTTTGCTGGATACGTTCGACGAACGGGCAGTTAGTCTATGTGGACAGGCTAATTAAAGGTTAAAAGAGGCTGCCAACCTCTTTGAAAAAAAAGAAAAAAACCCTGGTGAACACTAAACCAATATCCTGCTGTATGTAGAAGATGCATTGTAAATTATCACTGTAATTACTTGTTAAGTAATTTACCACCTTAAATTAAAATGGACCAGCCAAAAACTTTACTTACTCAATTCTCTTCAAGTTGCTTTGAGTCTTTTCCTGTTTTCTGGAAAGAAACTTGTCCGTTGGAGCAAAGCTCCTGTTCCGTCAAACAATTGCTTCTAAAATGTTAATTGTCAATACATAGAATGTAAAATGACCGATTAAAATATTGTGTCATATCTTATGTCTTAGGTCTTATGTACTATTCTGGCTACATCAATTCAAACGGTATGATTATCATATCAAATCAAATTGTTTATCTGTTGTCAGTTGTTGTCTATTTTTTTAAATTTAAGTTTTACAACTATATATGCAAAGGATTGTTACACCAGGGAGTAATGAAAATACTTTGTATCAAGATGGCAAAATTTTATCAAAGTCTAATTCGTTAAAGGCGGTGTTGAATATCTCGGTGAAAGCCGTAGAGACAAGATCATTGATAAGAGGTCTCAGTACTGGGAAGCCAGCTCTCCATGTGGCATTGATGATGCGGTCCAACACATTCTCTGCAACATGCGTAAAAAGAGTTGAAGCATAAATGTATGTTATTTCTTACTCCAGACGTATTATAATATGTTGTTATTCAAGTCTGTGGCAAGTAAAAATTCCATCACGAGAACTTTATCAGCTGTTAAACAAGCACATCCATTTAAAACCAAATTGAAACTTTGAAAAATATGAGACTTAATGGGTGAGGTGAATAAAAGGTAGTATTTGGTAGTGCGTACTTCTTTTCGAAGTATTTATTCGCTTTGCGGTAAATAAACATGCTAGTTGATACTAGCCCCTAGTGCAAACTACATCTTGCAGGTGAATAAAATGCTAGTTCTTACTACCCCTAGTACATACTTCGTCATTTAGGGAACGTAGTATCTACTAGGCTTTTTCAATGAATTAAAACTGGCCCTCATAGTTGTTACTTCATTTTTATGTAGTATGCTCATGGGCATGCTTCATTTTGGTCGTTTGCAAAGATGGTGATGTTTATACAAGAGTCCATAACAGGAAAATGTACCTTGAAATAAAAAACATTGGTAACTGTAAGCAATTACTGTGTTGAGAATGATATTGTTGATTTGTTTACCAACAAGTTTTTTTCCTTCTCATTTCCTCCTATCAGATCTCAATTGCTTCTCTAAGCTTAGTTGGTGTATTTTCCTAAACAATTCTCTCAGTTTTTTTCCTCATCAAATTTTTCATTCTATCTACTAACTTTTTGAGTTTAACTAGATTAAAATCCTTAATCCTTAAACCAAGAGTTTTGTTGTATCATCTAACAGTTTCAACCTCCCACTGTTTTCCCCTTCACCACGCCCGGAATTTTGGATTTCTCAAAGTAATTGAAATGTTTTTTTCGCAGCTTCATAAAGCCCCATCACCCCTTGTAAAACTTGGTCAACACCATCAAAATCGTTGTCAAGCGCAGTTGTGCCTTCATTATGAGTATGTACTAGGGGGTAGTACGTACTAAGAGGGTAGTACATACTACATCATTTAGGGAACCGCTAGTACTTACTTACTACATAGTTCTAGCTAATTCTTATTCACATAGATTTGAGCAAGTGCTAGAACTACATAGTACAAACTACATCTCTATTATCATCAACTTTTTAAGTAACAAATAATATGAAGTACGAACTACGTAGTATGTCCTAGTTTTTATTCACTTCACCCAATAAATATATAATATTGTTTCATATAACTTTTGTTGAAGCTGTAGTTGATTCATTCTACAACAAATAATTTTGATAGAGACACAGATCAAGGCCCCACCAAAAAAACAGGCCATGCTGCAGGATCCATGACGTCACACTAGTGGATGGATTTTTTGACAAATTCACTGCAATATCCCATATGCTTTAGGTAAATAAGCTGGCTTTTTGACAGATTTGAACAATAAGATTTCAGTACAATCCACCACTGTGACGTAGTGTTGCTCTGCCCGCACTGCAGCATGGCCTGTTTTTCTAGTGGGACCTTGGTTACATGCTAGTGAATGTAATAAGTCAAACTATTCTGATTGGTTTATGTTTACCCATGATTCGTCGCCCGCGCAGTAGATTGCTGATGTGGAGGTCGAGGTTCCCGATCCTCTGGACGTCCACTCGCACCTTCAGCTTGTCAGCTCCCTGGGGCCTGCTGATGGTTGTCGTCTGCACCAGATTGTCTGAAATCACCATCTTAGTCGTAATTCAAAAGTATCTCAATGATTGATAATTGATAATTGACCGTTGGGAACATACTTTCGTAAAAACGTTACGTTGAATGGCCCGAGTTGGAAGTTATACAGTTTTGATATTACAAACAGTATCGTGGCAAGAAGTTGCCTAAAGGGAGTATCACGGTTGGTACCGCAGTGAGGCGCTGCCTAACACTCCTGACATAACACACTTTGACACCCTCTTGCACCCTTGCACCTTGCACCTCTGCATAAAATATAATAAATATTCATGGAATAGTATGTAAGGAAAGGAGGAGTCAAATAATCATTTGATAATAGGTAATCAGTTGAAATGGGGACGCCATCTAGGTGTATATTTTAAACTAAATATGAGTGAAGGATGAGTGTAGAATGGAGTGAGATGATCTTTGTAGCTTTGTTGCCGACTAAGATCAGCTGTTCCAATAGGATCATTTTATTAAGAGCCCTAATGATCAAGGACAGCTCTAGAGTCGGGACCACGTAAGTTTGCAGTTGGTGGCAGCCAATCACAAGGCAAGGCTAGTGCAACGTTGCCACATCGCACTAATAAAATATACTAAGCAATATTTTCAAATCAGCTGGTATTATTAGATGTGGCAACACCGCATGGTTCTCATTGGTTCATTCAAAACCATATGGTAAATAGGCTCCTCCCTCAACTGCAAACTTATGTGGTCCCGACAATAGTTCAAACGATCAAAAAGCTACAAACTTTCTCAGAATTGAACCAGCAACCTATAATCCATGAGCTTTGCAGCTATAGGTGCAGGAATGAAAAGGTTTTCTTAAAAAACCATATTTTGCAAGGTGTGACCTAACAACGCTGATGGCGGGTTATACTTACACAATGTGAGGTTCCATACTCCTCTGTTGTCTGGTGGAGTGATCAGGACTTGGCTGCTAGTCTCGTATTCTCCCTCCAAGGACTTCTCAGGGAAAAACTGAGTGTACTGAACTAGGTTGAGCACTGGGTCACTCCTAGGGCATAAGATTTACAAAATAGTTCAATTTATGAGATAGAACCTCAGAATAAAGTTGGAACAATGTTCCCTAATGTTGTGCTTAAGAATAATTAAGGAATGGAATGTTTGAGAATTTACCTTGATTAGGAAAATGCATTTGCAATCAGATGATTAGCTGAGCAGAGACTGCGCACTCATACAGTAACCAGTTCCATCTTAAGCCGTGTTTACACCATAGATTACAATGTGTGTTTAAGAAAAGGTTTACAACATTCCAATGAACCATAACCCATATTTGACTTAGTTCTTGTCGTTCCACTTGGATCATATGGTATCCACGAGGTGTTATGAACCGTAATTGTTTCCTACAGTTTTTCAGTGTACCTATTCAAACGAAATTTGTTTTCCGCAAGAAGTTAAAAACATGTTTGGGGTATGCGATTTTGTTAAAGCCACATTTACACAAAATGTTTAAGACTGTTATTGATATAAGACTTGTTGTTTATTTTAGGTCAATTTTTTAAGTCTGGCGTAAACATTTGTTAGGACATAATATTGATGATGGGCCCCCAGTTTTAGTCTTATTCATTAGACATTCGCAATGAATGATTCTAGTTATGGGACCAGCTAAACTTACTCATCAACAAGTTTTGTTTAAGGAAAAGGGTTGGGCCAAGATTTTGATTTTGATTTGTAGATTCTGTTGAGATTATAGATTGGGTTTCAGATTTTGATTTTGCTGTAAGTCTATAGTAAGAGGTCTACTTAAAGTTTCCAAAGTCAATAGTTGAATGTATATTGAATGGTTGTTTATGAACACTGTTACATTAATTACTTTTAGTAATAAAACATATGATAACATTTTCTATATTTTGATACACAGTTAAGAAAAATAACATAGCCATGTTTTAGGTCAACAAACATTTTGCCAAGCAAATAGTTTTTCTATACTTAATCTAAATTTTTAGTTTTTATTCTGGACATCTTTCATTGATTTCCTCATGGAGCTAAACAGAGACAATTATTGCGAAGAATGTTGGCTGATTGTAAGCAGTGAAAACAAAGACAATTATATAGAAGAAGTTTCCACAACATTGACATTACCCAATGAGTCAAGGTCTAAAACAGTGGAAAAACATCCTGCAAAATCTTCAGAGGCTGAGTTAGCTAGCTTTGAGAAAACCAATAATTTATCTAACGCTGAATCAAGTAATAATATGTCACCAATGTCAAAACTCATCAAAGTTGGGAAAGTATACATATCTCAAACTAATTTACCTACTGAAAGGCTTGTGAAGAAAAACAAAAGGTTCGATGACGATAAATCTTACAAGAGCTATGCAGGAATGTCAACGAAATCGCTCAAGTCTAACTACAGTAAATACACTTTTAATCAAACTTCTGCAGTGTCTTTAGTTTCAATTTTAAAGTCAAAATCTGAAATTCTGCATGGTGCTAGACCAAGTGATTCTGATTTGTGTTTAGAATGTCTTGTTCTTGAGTACAGGGACAGTTTCGACACAAATCTGCTAAAGAACGTGTACAGCTCAGTGAAAGAACAACATCAATGCAGAATGATACCTGTGCAAAAGTGTGGGCGAAAAAAGTGTTTGCAGTTGTGCAGCGATTCAGAGTGTCCAAAGTTCAAGTTTTGGAAGATTTTGGATTCCGGTGGCTCTGGATGGAAGGTAGATTTTAGTTTTGGAAATTGTATTCCACCACTAGAGTTGGAGGGTTCCTCATGCTTCACCACCTCTAGCGGATTGTGCAGTAAAGAACAGTTGGTAGATCTCTCCGAAGCAGGGCTGAGTGATCGGATAATGGACGAGGTGAGGCCGGACATTGAGATCTCCGAATGGTTCTGTGGCAGTCAAGACTCCACCTCCAGGTACGGATATAAGGTCAGTTTTATTCTTTAGATTTAATTAATCCACAAGTAATTTTAAATTTTCTCATGCAAGTAAACTCAATTCCATTAACCGTGGGCCTACCAATGTGAGTAATGAGGTTTCAGTGTCACTGGACCCATTAGGTAGATAAACATTTACCTTTATGAAAGGCTGATGGGCCTCCCATAAGTGTGTGTGGCAAAGCATGACTTACCCCCCCCCACCCCCCCAAAAAAAACCACTCCTAAATAAATTTAGATTGTTACATCTTGCAGAAAAGCAACATTGAAACATGATTACTGTATAGTCTTACCGTCTTACTCATCCATTCAAAGAACAAAACTGTAAAAAGTTATCACAATATTGTAAAAATGAGAAAAATTACAAGTACTGTAAATAGGTATGTCTTGTTCGAAGTTATGGTTTTTTTATTTATTATTTTGGTGTTATAAATTCAGTTTATCTAACGTTCTTGTAATATATTTAAGCTAGAAGACAGTTGAGTTTAAATCAATGTATACATCTCATTGATGTACTTATTAAACGTATGATACAATACGAAAAGGCCTACTTGTAAGATGTCAATTTAAATCCCACAGAGAGTATTGTCAAATCTATGTCTTCAGGTGATGAAAGAGGGAGCCTAGAGGTCTACATTTCAAATGCGTAGCAGCTACAGTATCTATCTTGGCACTCTACTGATCAACTGAAGAGGGTCTTGCGCGTTGTCGTAGGTTATATTGGGGTGGGGGTGGCGAAGGTATTTGGAGTCTTGTAGAGCGATTTGGGATATTGTAGGGTTCTGGCCTTCCTGGAATGTTGTTGCTCAAGGGGTCACTAATACCCGAAGAACTAGATTTTACAATCTGCCGTGTTCGTGGAAGCATATCCTTTAGACCCACAGAGAGAGTAGTAAGTTATGTTTTAATTCTTTCTTTAGTCCTTGGGTAAAACTTGGAATGACATTATTGTTCTCAAATCTTTTGATTTGTGTAATCCATCCTATCGTTTGTCAGAATACAAATAAAAGGACAGGCACCAACACACAGTCCAGGTTTAGTTAGTTTTGGTACACTCTGTACTGTATGCATCAATCCATTTCTGGGCTTTGTACTTCATTGAGAACGTTCCTACAACTACTTCAACCTCTCATACACATTCAAAATGCTTCTTTGATGTTTAGCGTTCATTCAGACTCTTAAACCACATCATACACTAGGCCTAGTTGGTTTAATGAATGGGTCATGTGTTTGAGGCATAGGTAGACACAATTGGTGGAAATGTAGTTTGTCTCTAAAGGAACCTTATCTAATGAATTTTCCTTTTAGGTGTCACTTCTAGATAGCCGTCAACTGATGATGTGTGTTCATGGAGAATGTAAAACTTTGAAGCCTCCTGATGCTTCAAAATGGCAAAGGGTAAGATATTGTCTTGAGGAACAAATAATTCGATCACTACATTTCTGATTTCCAAGTAATTCAGGTCAGCTTACGACACATGTTTTTTCTCCGCTCGAAAAGCTATCACATGCTACCAATTCACCTCTTCCCCTATTAATTCACAAAATATAATGTAAATTCCGACCTTCCATATTTTTTGTTTGATGGTTTTCTTAGTTTCTTCTTGCCAATACAGTAATAATATCAAAAACTGTAAATAGACTTGTTGTGAAGTTTCTTAATCTATGTTTGATTATTGTTCTCAGGTGACGTACACCTTCCGAGGTTATGAGCCAGGAGTACGGTACATCCTGTTCCACCACGGGGGCCAAGGAGAAGCCATCAGAGGAGATGAGGGGAATACCCATCCTGGATGTAAGATGGCAGGGGCTTCTATCAAGGCGAAGCTTACAAAGAGTTTTTCAGGGGACGAGCACAGCAAAACAAGATTTTGATTTAGCCAAAAACGTTAAGTGTTTTTGTAAACTCAATTGTGCTGTGTTTGGTTAGGAGTAAAGTTATAAATATGACTATAAACATTGGTCAATGCTATAAAACAATAACTTATGTCAAATTTAATTGACTAGCTTGTACGAACTAGTAAAGGCCTGATTGTATAGCAATGCATTGGTTGCAAGGAGGAGTTATTTTGCTTCCAGGCGTATATTTTGGGGGTTACACAACCTGTGACAGCCCATTGCTCACAAAAGCTTTCAATCCTTTCAACAGAGAAAGTTCGAAGGGATTGATATTTGTAGGTAGACTTACCTTAAGGTTGCCAGTCGCCAGGTTCTTAAAGAATGTTGATGTGAGCCACATGTTTGCCATCATCAGGAGCAAAATTTGTATTTACATCACTTAAAACATTATATATAACCTATACTATTTAGTATTTATTTACATTATTGGTTGGCGGACGATTTACGACGCTGGTGTATGACTAATAAAGTAAATAAATAGTATGGGGTTTTAAGTGATGTAAATACAAACTTTGCTACTGATGATTGCACACATGAAGCAAAAGTTTATATTGGGCTCACATCGACATTCTTCAAGAACCTGGCAACCATCAGGTAAACCTACATAGTTGTTCTTGAGATTGGGAATACTACACAGAGGTAATTTCTTTATTATGTAATTATGACTAGTTATAGTTATTTCAATAATAATAGCTAGTAAAAAACATCACAAAAATGTGAGTATTTTTTAAAAATGTTGTTTGTTCATTATATGATACACTACATAAATACACCTAACTGATAAAAAACAAAATAAAATTCTGTAGAGTAGAATAGTCTTTAAGTCATTTGTGCGGCTAATATCAGCGTAAAAAAGAGAAAATAACTCTAACCTGAAGCTGGTGACTTCAGACTGTGTCCATCCTCTCTCCAGCACATTCCGCAGAACGAGACGATAGTTGAGAGCAAACACTCCTCGCTTCTGGATCACCTCTTTGGCAAAGAACGGATCGAACGGGGATATATTGAGCTCTGGCACCCCTACAAACATCGGAAAATACTAAGTTCATCACAAAAATCATAAAATCAATAGGTAATAGTGGCTTCTTTCGATATACTTAATAAAAAAAGGGTTTCCTCTGTCACGCCCCTTTTCCAGCCATTATAATCAACCGATTTTCATGATTGAGGTGTCATTTTAAAGCTTATGATCCAGCACAACTGCGAATTACAACAAAAAAGGTAATTTACTTAAGGGCTACGCCCCCCTTGCGTTTCAATTATTTCTGTGGTTCCCTTTCAAAGATCCAGTATTGCTGACCAAACATTTTATAAAGGTTTAAATACCCTACCCTACCAATCTAACATCTGACTCCTTCAGTTGAATGATTAATCACAGTCAGATTGTAAACAAGAGACAGACAAAACAGTTTATGAAAATAGATTATAATGAGGCTATTTTTGTGATAATTGAATTTTGAGACCTGATTGAGGTAAGTAAATCGCTCTTCGGTTTTTATGGCGTAAATCTAGATCTTTGAAATGTAAAAGGGTATTGTATTATTATTTTACCTTGAAATTATGTTTTGAACCCTATTAAAATGCAAAATTTCCCCTTGATTGTACTGAAAGTGTCAATAATAAATTCCATGTACAAGACGAAGCTGGAGTTTAAATAGATGGATCAAGTGATGAGGCAGCTCTTAGGTGCAAGTTATCAACAATATTTTTCATCCTTTTGCAAAAAAGAAACGCACAAATACACACTCCTACAGTGTGAGTAAAATGAAAACTTCCTGTACACATTCAATTATACTTCATGTGGTGGCTGCATTGCGACATAATGACCCGGAGGTCACATTTTGTGTTACTTGTTCCGCACACACATAGCGTGCTTCTGTAATATTTCAAAGGCTTTTGATTAGAATCATTGCAATAACGATCAAACAAATGCAAAATTTCAATGGTAACCTCAAATTTAAAAATGTATCCCTCAATAGAAAATCAATACTATATTGTACAGAGGTAAGCAAATTTGAAGTTTCACCAGGTAGATTCCACATTACAAATACATCAAATCGACCTGTACTGTGATTGAAGTCAAATAAATTATGTTATTTATAATAAATTTTTTTACCTGTGCTGAAAAATGGTCTGACGTCGTTGAGGGCTTTCTTGATACAATCATCGAACCCATCTTCGCCTCTCTTGCAATCTGTGAAGTAAGAAGCTGAAACAGTTCATCAAATTAAATTATCATTTTTGAAATCAGTGTTATTAGAAGGCTTACAAAAAACAAAGATAACTACTAATACAGTATACGTTTTCCTCAATTGATCAATTATTTATATTTTAAAATTATTAATTATTTAGTACCATTTCAAGTGGTATATTCAGTGTCAACCTAATAGAAAATGTGCTGACAGAGCTACTATCTTGTTCCACCCTTGTAAGTTATGGCATTAACTCCTTGAGGTGAGTTCTGAAATCGGTACTCTCCCAATGAAGAATTAATTTATATATAACTGATATAAAGGGTGTTTTTTTATAAAACTCAACCCAAATTACAAGTAAGTGGAGACACTGTTTAGAAGCTCTTAAGTTTGCAGCCCTGCTTCCTTTACTCCATTGCCTATATAAGCATTGTTGTTACACAGTTTAGTGTTATTAGGAATTGATCGTAAACAAAATTCAACTTAATGTTTTCAAAATCACATTGATTATATTGTAAAAGAATTCATGAACACTGTTTTATGTCAAGAAAGGTTTGCAAGTAGGGATTCAGGTGAGATTATCTATCTATCTAATCTAATATATAAAATTCTCGTGTCACAGTGTTTGTCTGCAAACTCCTCCGGAACGACTTCACCGATCGTTATGAAATTTGGTGTGTAAATTCTGTAGGTATGCGAATAGGAAGTAAACTATTTCCCGTTTCGAAATTCTTAAAAGGGCTCCGCCCCAGTGGCTCTGGAGTTTCCCATGTTAACCTTATGAGAAATGGAATTAATGAATCTTAACAGCTGTTTCAATTAAATAGCATTAAAGTTACAAGGATTACCAACAGGGTGCAGCACTATTATTTCTTTTACATTTATGACAACAGCTAATTTGCAACCAAAAGGTGAGTGAGCGTAGCGAACGAACTTCAACCTGGAGGCGAGTGAGCGTAGCGAACGAGCTAACCTGAAGGCAAGTGAGCGCAGCGAACGAGCTCCAACCTAAAGGTGAGTGAGCGTAGCGAACGAGCTCCAACCCAAAGGTGAGTGAGCGTAGCGAACGAACTTCAACCAGGACGTGATTGAGCGATGCGAACGAGATCATCTTGAAAATTAAACGTAACGGTACTTTCTTTCCATCGGTCTGTCTTAGGGGAAACCTATAACTTAGGCGATACGAAGTTCGCTGGGTCAGCTAGTCTATCTATATATTAATAGGCAAGCATGTTTCTTTAAAACCTTTTTTCTCAGCTTGTGTGCATCGTGGGGTAAATCTACGCATACCGTTAGAAAGCTATTATCCTGTAGGTGTGCAGAATCCCTTTATAAATTTAAATAGGCTCAAAGATAAGCACAAAAAATGAGTTTAACAATTTGAAAAAATTAACATGGATCTTATGCGTTGCCATGCTGGTGACGAAATAACAACGAAATATAAACAGAAAATCAAAACAAATGGAAGAAACTCCAATCACATGTTTTATTTACAGTGTGGGGTGAAAATAGAGAAGTGAGTACATTACATATTTTTGGTCGAGTTTCGACCACTGGACGACCTCTCGTACTTATTTAATACGCAAGCACGATTTTTGTGACAATTACTCCTCCGAAACTACTGAACCGATTGACACGTTTTTGGTGTCATTGGAAAGAGCGTAACGTGAAGTTGTGCAGGAAACTTTCTTTTTAGGTAAATAATTAGAGAGTGAGGCCCTAGGGCCCTTTAAAGTTTCGTATTCCTCCATAAGATTAACATGGGGAACAAACATTGTTTTGAAACTCCAGCTGTTGTCAGAAATTAAATATTAAATAATTCGTTTCCATGGAAGCATGAGAAAATTCACAATGTTTACATTTGCTTTGACATTTTATTGTAAACAACCAGAACTGTCAAATTTCTATTTCACAAATTCCGACAGCTGATAAAAAAAAATGTATTTTCCTTTGACCATGTAAAACAACTATGTGGTAGGTTTATTTAATCTTAAACTTTATGATAGATTATTTATTATAAATCTATTTCAATGATTATGAAACAGATTTTTCCCGTTGTGAAGCAAAAATTAATAGTGAGAAGAAGAACATATGTAAAACAGTCAATGTGTAAATTATCTATGTTGTATTAAAAATGTGTTTAGTTTTGGATGTTGGTTTGTGTTGAATGATATCGGTTATTAGTTATTGCATTTTTATTCTAAGGATTTGGCATATGAGTAAGCCTATGATAAATGACTCCATTTCAGAATTCTGCCAGTTTTTGCCTAACTCTATCCTGTAGAGTTTAAAGTAGCCTACACCTTATTGTCTACATATTGGCTAAACAACTTAGGTACGGTACTTATAAAAGCTGACAGCCTTTTTACGTTGACTTAATGTAAGCTTACCTTTTCCCGTACATGGGCAGATTGATTGTTAAAAATTAACCCTTTAAACTGGAATAGGACTGTCATGTAAATAGTGAGTATTTCCTTTAGTTAATAATCTTATAGTTGACTCTTTTAAAATCATCAGAAATTATGACTGTTATTAGTTTTTAAACAAGTTATTTGTTTATAAATAACTCCTGTACTTCTTTGCAATTGCTCGATTTCGAGCAACATGTACACTAGTAGTAATAAATCAAGTACAAGCTGTAAATAAACGGTATCAGCATTATGACACATACTTTCTCCCATAAGTTTGACAACAACCTTTATCATGTGTAAGCGGTGAGAGTAAATATACGGAAATGGGATTTGTACAATTTTGTTCAGAATTTAAAGGACTATAACATACTAAATTGTTACCTATCAAAATTGTTCTGGCCATTTTTTGGAAAATCCAATTTTTCCGTTATTTTATTGGGTTTTTATGGGAAAATAACATAATTTACAATAACTTTTAACCCGTAATTTTTACAGAAATGGGATTTGTACCATTTTGTTAAGA